CAGCGTATGGCACTTTGGCCTGCTGAGTGCTTTGAAGTAAAGGAGATTGGAAGGCCTCAGAAGCAAGGTCTCTCTGACATTCTCTTGCCCTCCTGTCTTTTACCCTTCCTTCTCCCCTGAAGCAAGTCAGAAACCAAAATCCCTCTTCCCCAAAACAAGCCATAAAACTCAGAAAGGTTACTCTCTCCCTCTTCCCTGGCTGAAGTGATCCACCCACTTCGGCCTCGCAAAGTGCTGGGATTACAGGCGTGAGCTAACACCCTCAGCGGGGTATTTGCATTTCTAACGGGTTGTTAGAGATGATGATGCTTTAACACAAAGACCTGAATTCCCTGAGGAGGTGTGGCTGATGCTTAGACCCAGCTGAGGCCTCTCCAACCAGAGCCTCCATCAGTCAATCATTCTTTCTGTTTGTTTTCCTGGTGGTTGCATTCTCTGCCAGGTTTCCCCCTCCTTTGGGGTTGGCAGCTGATTGTAGTGCCTGGCTGTCTCAGCTTATGGGGAAGTGGCTATAAGGAGGAAACTGTAGAGAGGTTTGATAAAAACAACCACAGGGATTCACTGAGCCTGTGGTCAGGATATCAAGAGGAAGAGAAACAAAATTCAACCAAGCAAAACAAAAAGAAAGGAGTACATTCTGAATCAAGTGGCTGGAATCTGAGAGTATGTAAAATTGGAACGGTTTGAATTTATTGCATTTATCTGCCTTCCCAAAGTGGGTCTATAAACACTAGTCCCAACTTGAAACAGAGACTAGACTCTTCCAGACTTTTTTTTTTTTTTTTTTTTTTTTTTTTTTGAGACGGAGTCTCGTTCTGCCGCCCAGGCTGGAGTGCAGTGGCCAGATCTCGGCTCACTGCAAGCTCCGCCTCCCGGGTTCACGCCATTCTCCTGCCTCAGCCTCCCGAGTAGCTGGGACTACAAGCGCCCGCCACCTCGCCCAGCTAGGGTTTTTTTTGTATTTTTTAGTAGAGACGGGGTTTCACCATGTTAGCCAGGATGGTCTCGATCTCCTGACCTCGTGATCCGCCCGTCTCAGCCTCCCAAAGTGCTGGGATTACAGGCTTGAGCCACCGCGCCCGGCTCTTCCAGACTTTTAATGATAATAATGATAAAGACTAAATTTATATGGCAGGTTCTATGTTTAGCATTATTTATGGATTTTCTCATTTAATCTTCACAACATTATATGGTGAATACTAATGTAATCTCTATTTCACAGATGAGACAACAGAGCTTAAAAAGGATGAATAGGCCAGGCGCAGTGGCTCACACCTGTAATCCTAGCACTCTGGGAGGCCGAGGCGGGTGGATTACTGAGGTCAGAAGTTCAAGGCCAGCCTGGCCAACATGGTGAAACCCCGTCTCTACTAAAAATACAAAAGTAGCCAGGCATGGTGGTGCGTGCCTGTAATCCCAGCTATTTGGGAGACAGAGGCTGAAGAATCGCTTGAACCTAGGAAGCGGAGGTTGCAGTGAGCTGAGATCATGCCACTGCACTCCATCCTGGGTGACAGAGCAAGACTCTGAAAAAAAAAAAAAAAGATAAATAATATATCCAAGATTGCACAGCTGATAAGAGACGCAATGAGGCTCTTGATCTGGGTCTGTCTCCAAGCATCTTCATTATGATTATCATGATTTTTGAGTTATTCATACTTTTCCCATTACCAGAATACACATTTTATATCAAATCATCCCTTTCAAAGAATTCTCCTTTCTTTTTTTCCTTAGAGAAAAGTCTTGCTCTGTTGTCCAGGCTGGAGTGCAGTGACATGATCTCAGCTCACTGCGACTTCTGCCTCCCGGGTTCAAGTAATTCTTGTGCCTCAGCCTCCCAATTAGCTGGGACTAAAGGCATGCGCCACCATGCCCAGGTAATTTTTGTTTTTTATAGAGACAGGGTTTCACAATATTGGCCAGGCTACTCTTAAACTCCTGACTTCAAGTGATCTGCCCACCTAGGCCTCCCACAGTGCTGGGATTACAGGTATGAGCCACTGGGCCCCGCCCAAAAATTTTCCTTTCTGACTGGCATATTTCAGTTTTAATAAATAGTGTGCCCCTCTATTCATAACCATTTTGTTTTAGAAATATCTCCTTGTATTTTGTGCTTTCCCTTTCCCAGCTGTGATGAGAAAAAGAAACTCATTTCTGTTTTGATTTAGTGTCCTTGGAAATGCCCTACCTAACTCTGTGTCTATCTCCTTTAATAAGTCATCAAAAAGATATTGTCTGGTTCTTTTGTCTCAGTAAAATGTCTAGTAGTGGTATTTGGATCCCGAGACAATTCAGGGAAGTAGCATGTGCACTGTGTAGGACTTCCTGATCATTTTTAAACTGTGGCACAGAGAAAACCACACAAGTAAAGTTGTAAACAAATGAGGCTTCTTACAGCCAGGGGCAACTGGCCCTACCTGGCTATTGCTAGGCCTGAGAGCCACTCATTAGTTCTGTGTAGTGATAACTCATACAAGGCATGAAGGTGCTGCCTGCACACTGTTTGTGAAGCTCCTTTGGTATTGTAGAAAACCTAAGTCTTTAGTGTCAGGCAGACTTGGTTTCGTATTCTGACTCCACCACTTATTAACCATGTAGCTTTGGACAAATCGTTTTAACTTCTCTGAAGTTAAGTTCTTCATGTGCAAATGAGGATGATAATACTTATCTTCTGGGGTTGTTGAAAATTAGAAATAATGTGAGTCTAGTGCCTCCTCCGTAGTAATAATGTGAAAGGAAAATAAAAACTCAGGACTCCAATTCACTATGCCAAAAGAAAAAAAAAATTAAACTGAAAACTGAGTCATACAAGAAACTGACTTTCCTTTCGATCCTAAGCAGATAGCTACAGACAAAAGATTAAAAATCTCCACAGGTGGCCAGGTGTGGTGGCTCATACCCGTAATCCCAGCGCTTTGGGAGGCCAAGGTGAGTGGATCACTTGAGGTCAGGAATTCAAGACCAGCCTGTCCAACATGGCAAAACCTCAGCTCCACTAAAAATACAAAAGAAAAACAAATTAGCAGGGCGTGGTGGCAGATGCTTGTAATTCCAGCTACTTGGGAGGAGGAGGCAGGAGAATCGCTTGAGGCCGAGGTTGCTGTGAACTGACGTCACACCTCTGCACTCCCTCCTGGGCGACAGAGTAAGACTGGCTCAAAAGAAAGAAAGAAAGAAAGAAAGAAAAAAAACTCCACAGGTTATTCTGTTTCTACATTATCTTACATAAAGTGCCGATTTACTGAGAGCAAGACAATACTTAATTGACTATTCCCCTACCTGCTCCTTTTCCCTTATAACATGTGGATTATCATACTCTTCCTCTTTCCCCTCCAGTCTGCTTTTCTTCTAAATATTGAAACCCTCAAATTCATCTTTGGAGAAAGTCACAGACCACATACTGTTTCTTGTGATTCCGTGTTTTTTTCTTCTGGGCATGTCCTTAAACTTGGCAAAATAAACTTCTAAATTAATTGCGACCTGTCTCAGATACCCTTTGTTTTACAGTAAGAATTCATATGCTTACATAGTAACTATTCATTTTGGTTTCTTAGTGTGTTACCTGTATATTGTGTGCCTTTGTTTCTCATGATATTTATAAAGTATTGATGCCAGCTCATTGTTATCTCATCACCAGTTAAAAAACATAATTTTTAACCTAAAAATTAGATAAGAGCTGGAGATGGATTTGGGGGTAGAATCGGGGCAGTAGTAAAAACATGTGTCAGAGTGGGTGGGGCTGTTGAAGGTTTCTGAAGACCACAGAATGTGATAACAAGGTTTTACAGTGTCATTTCCTTAAGTATTAAAGTATTAGAGCTTGCTTCCTGAGAGGGCATTTGGGAAAGAGTCCCCAGAAAGGGGCCCCAGGAGAGATTCCGGAGAAACTCGTGTTCTGGAGATGTTGAGGGTGAACAAATGGTGATGCGGATAATGACAGAATGCAAGAAAAGGGAACTAGCATTCACCGGACACCCGTGATGTACCAAGCACTTTGCTAACCCTCATATTCTCTTTTACTTTCCAAAAACCTGTAGTACTGTGGTTCTCAGCTAGAGGCAATTCATCCCCTAGGGAACACTTGCCAATATCTGGGGGCATTTTTGTTTTCACAACTGGGGGTGCCACTGGCGTCTAACAGGTAGAGCCCAGGGGTGCTGCGGAACATCCTACAATGTTCAGGGAAGGTCCTCACAGCAAGAATAGTTTGGCCCAAAATGTCCATAGTGCTGAGGCTGAGAAACTGTGCTTAAATGGTAGGCACAATAATCTTCACTTTTACAGATCTGGAACCTGACACTCTGAGAAGCCGCCTGGCATTCAAACCTAAACCTAACACAGCTTCAAAGCCCATGCTCTTTCACCATGCCATTGCAGTGAGAACAGGGATGGAAATGAGGGTGGCAAAAATGACCAAGATACAAAACCAAGGCACAGATTGGCACTCAATAGATATTTACTGGGATATTCATTAAATGGAAGAATGAATCAGAAAAAGAATGAATATGGGCAGGGGAATAATGAGGATGAGCGTGGTCATTCTATTGCCATCCTGACATACCTCCTTGTCCTTGTTCCACAACTCAAAAGTGAGTCTGGGATTCTGACAATAGAGAAAATTAAATGATGGTAGGTGGCCTGGAGCCCCCATGCTCAATTTCAGGAGGAGTCCAGATTCCAGTGCCTGGGTCTCCAAGTGGAAGTAGAAGTACTAGATTGCTGGTGCATGCTGTCATCCATCGCCCTTTCTCAGGAGGATAGAGACTGCAACAGGAGGTTCTGAGCTGAGTTTTGGTGACCATTTCCCTCTTTCTCCCAGAGGCCCAAGCCAGCTGTGGCCTCAGAGGGAGAAGAAGGGAGTTGTTTCCATAGTTTCTAAAATTTCTGTGAATTTGAATATGGGCTACGCCAGATTTATCTGGGAAGCTCTGAATCTTCTAGGAGGGAACAACTGAGAGGAAAGAGGGTGGAAAGGGAGGAGCCTATGATAAAACAGAACATTTCTTTTTCACTTCCTCTTTCAGACTCCAGAATTTGTTTGCCCTCTGGGGTAGAATCCGCCAAACTTGGAGAGAAGGCTGTGACTGCTGTACTCTGGGCACCAGCTCGCTCCAGGGAGTGATGGGAATCCTGTCATTCTTACCTGTCCTTGCTACTGAGAGTGACTGGGCTGACTGCAAGTCCTCCCAGCCTTGGGGCCACATGCTTCTGTGGACAGCTGTGCTATTCCTGGGTGAGTCAGGGCCCCCGGGAGGGAGAGAAGAACAGGAAACTCGGTTGGGGATAAGCCTGGGCAAGGATGAGGGGTGGCATGGGAAGCCCGTCAGGACACCCAGGGGAGGGAAGGCAGGCTGGTGAAGATGAAACCCTGACGACTCTGCTGGCTTTGGAAAGTCATCCAGTGTGGCAGAGTTCAGGGTTTTTTCTGTGTCTTTCACCCAATCTCACTGAACACCCAGACTCTTGATGTTCTGTCACTTCCCACATCAGAACCCGCTGTGAGAAAAGTCTAGTAACCTATATTTGAATGGCAAATGAATGGCCAGAGTGTTTGCCTTCTTTGAAATTTATGTTTCACAAAAGACCACATCTTAGTCAGGAGGGCCAGTGCTGCCTTGGATAAGGGGTAGGGAGGAAGTTATAAGATGCATTTTTGGGAGGAGGTGGCGGTGGCCATTCTCCGTGCCCGTGAAACCACTTCATGCAGCAGAAGCCTATCATCTTCATGTGTAAAAATATTCCCCTGGGCAGAAGCACAGGGAGATCTAGGTTATCCAGAGAACAGGGGCTCTGAGAATACACACACCTGGGTAAGTCTGGAGTGATGTGTTGTGGGAACCAGAGAAATCATGCATGCTTCTTTTTACCACACAGACCATGATGGGGAGGTACTTGATCTGATCAGCAAGAAAGCCAGGGTCTTAGGCCAACATGGAAGGCTGTTTTTAGACTATGTTCTCAGCTGTTGAACAGGGGACAGGGACTGATCATGCTAGGTGGTTTTGAAAGCCTATGGGAGGCCAAGTAGGGGAGATCTACTGCCAGGACTATCTCTCCAATCTCAATTCCTGGGGCTTCCACCCTCACATTCTAGAGGAAAGCATACTGCCACTCATCCAAATTGTGTGCTGTGGCTGCTAGTGAAATCTGATCAGCTCTGGGGACCCTCAGCTCTTGGTTGTCAATGCAGGATGATACTGGGCTACAGCAGAAAGAGGTAAGGAAGAGAAACTATTCCTCCATGAATGGGATGCATGGATTAAATTCGAAGAGAAAGTAAGGTGAACTACTTCATTTGTCATGTGGGGAAGCTCAGGCCTAGAGAGGTGATGTGCTTCTTTATCTCTGCTCCTAGTGCTACTAATGTGCTAGTCACCTGGGCAAGATTCCTGGGAAAGATCTTTGGTATTTTCTCCCATTTGCCTTTTGGTAAATCATCAAGGATTTACCCTATTTTTTTCCACTCTTACTGGGGCTTCCACATTTAGGTCTTCATCACTCGATAACTCAATTTTTATAGCACCCTCTGACGGGGTCTTGATTGCTCCTGTCTCCCCTCCCGTGCATCCATGCTGCACACCAAGGCCGTGGCATCTTCAGGTCCAGCTATGGCTGTGTCAGTGCATTTCATAAATGCCTTCTGTGCTGCTCCATTGCCTACTGCAAAAACTCTAATTCTGCCCTGCTAACCGTGTTCCCCATTGCACCCCAAATGGATCTTCTTCTACAGCCAGGCAATATGTACACTGCACTTTCTGTTTTTACCACCTTTGCTGCTGCTGATTCTCCAAATTCTATGTGCAGGCACTGTTCTAGGACTTGGAGACTTATCAGTGAGCATGACTGACAGCTTTCCTGACCGGAAATACGAGGTCAATGAACTTACTGTGAAGCAACAAGTACACTGGGTGGGAGCATGTTTGGTATTTACTACTATTTATTAACTGTGGAATGGATAAATAATTAGTGACGTCTCTCTCCTTTCCTCATCTTTTTATTTTTTTTCTCTCCCTCTTCTTCCTCTTCTTTTTTCACCCTCTCTCCCACTACACCGTCCCCCTTGCCAATCCTACTGAGGTTTTTAGCTACCACTTCTATGTCAATAACTCCTAAACCTATTTCTCTTGCTTGCTTCTGTCAAGTATAATTTTACATTTCCACTGCTGGTTGGACACCTCTAAAACGATTCGCCAGCTCAAAAACAAAGCATATTCAAAATCCAACTTATCATCTCCTCCTTACAAATGTTCTTCTCCTGCTAACATTTGTATTTGTGTAAGCACAGCTACCCTTTTCCTAGTTATCCAACTTAAATCACCCCCACAGTCTATTAAATGCCAACTTCTCTCTGCCACTTAAATTCTTTCTGCATCTGTTTCCTCTTCTTCACCTCCTGTTGTCAATACAACTTTGGGCTCTCTTATCTCCTGCCTAGATCCAACCAGTGAATGATTTCCAGAGCAATGGCACATAAAATTAATATGGCTACTGCTCTCTTTGAATTTTTATCCCACTGAGGGATATAAATGAAAAGTAAACAATCAAGAAGGCATAAGTACAAATGGAAAAGGACTATGAAGATGTAAATAGGGTATTGTGATAAGATTAGTTGTGGGGAAGACAAGAGAGCAGCCTACTTTAAACAGGATGTTATGTAAAGATTTTTCTGAGGAGGTGACATGTAAGCTGAGACTCAACATGGTAGGGATTTAGCCATTTGGTGATCGAGGACGCATTTCAGGGTAGAGGGATTGGCATACAGAAAACCCCCAAATTTGAAGAATGCCAGGAAGGCAAGTGTTAATGAAACTCGATGAGTAGGGGAAGAGGGTTCTGAGCTGAGGCTGGAGAAGTAAGCACGGACCAAATTGAGTAGGGCTTGTAGGCCATTTCCACTTTATTTTAAGACCAAAGAAAGGCAACTGAAGGCTTGTAAGCAGGGGAGTGACATCATCTGATTTCTTTTTTTTTTTTTCTTTTTTAAGGAACTAGCTTCTTTGTTGAAAATGGATTGTAGGGGAACCATAAGAAGTGAGGGGACAAATTAAGATACGGGAAAAAGCTGATGGTGACCTAAACTGAGTAGTGGCTATAATGGGGGTGAAGAGAAGTTAGTGAGTTTGAGATCTAAGTTGGAAGCAGGATCAGCAAGACTTCCTGGTATGGAAGGGGCTGGATTTTGGGAGACAGAGAGGTTAAAAGATGGCTTGCAGGTTTCTGGCCTATGTAGCTGGGTGGATAGTGAAGATAGATATTGACATGAGGAAGACGGAAAGAAACAGAATGTGTCCACTTGATATGACAACACGAAGCCATTGGTGATTTTGCCAAGAAAAGTTTTAGTGGACTGCTGAGGGCCAAGTCCAAATTGCAGAGAATTAGACAGTGAATGGAAGAAGAAATGAGGACAGCCTGTGTAAGAAAAACAATGGAGAAATTTAGTTGTGAAAGGGACAAGAGAGACCAGGCGTGGTGGCTTACGCCTGTAATCCCAACACTTGGAGAGGCCAAGGTGGGTGGATCACTTAAGGTTAGGAGTTCAAGACCAGCTTGTCCAACATGGTGAAACACCATCTCTACTAAAAATACAAAAATTAGCCAGGCATGGTGGGGCATACCTGTAATCCCAGCTGCTCAGAAAGCTGAGGCAAGAGGATTGCTTGAATCTGGGAGGCGGAGGTTGCAGTAAGCTGAGATGGTGCCGCTGTGTTCCAGCGTGGGTGACAGAGTGAGACTCTGTCAAAAACAAAAACAAACAAACAAACAACAACAACAACAACAAACTGAGTGAAATGGGGCAGTAATTATATGTGGTGGAATTATATGTGGTGTCAAGGAAAAGTTTTTTTTGTTTTTTTGTTTTTTATTTTTAGTGGAAGATACTGAAATAAATTTACCATTGATGGGAAGATCCAGCTAAGAGGGAGAAACTGGTGATGCAGAAGAGAAAGTGAATAACAGAAAGGGAAATCCTTGAGAAGATTAAAGGGAATGGGATCAGAGTACTTACTTGAGACTGACCATAGACAGGAGGAGAGATACTTTCTCCAATGAAATTCAAGGAAGGAGAAGACAGGAGGAGATGCAGATAGACTGGTAGATTTAGTCGGGGGACGATGTGAGATTTTCTGTGTAACCTCTTTTTTTTTCTCTGTGAAATATGAGGGAAGGCATCAGCTAAAAATGAGAGGGGACTGGAGGCAGAGGGTGGGATGAGAAAGTTTGGGGAATGAGGAAAAGATGAATGTCACTACTCAGAGTAGCAGAGCAAATGTCTTGGAGAAAAGTCCACAATGGCAGTTCAGTGTCCTATTGAATGCGGTGATCACACATTTACTGCATCAACAGTTTGCCTTCTTGTGTGGTAATTTCAGTAACATGCAATTGAGCAAGTAAAGGCATGGAGAATACAGGTGCATTTGGTAAAGATAGAGAAAGGCAACCGAAGTTAAGGGGATCTGCAAGGAGGTAATTATAGTGATGCCTCATTGAATTCAAGCTAGATGGGGGTGGGTGGGAGGTGAAGGCAAACATGTGCTCAAGGATAGACAGTGGTAAGATGGATGCTTTGGGGTTCTTGATAAGGTCAAAGATTATTCTGGGGGCTCTACTTGAGCAGATAAAGTTCATCTCCAAAGAAAGAAAGTTTACTGATGATGAGCAGTTCAGGGAGTGAAGAGGCCAGGTGTTTGATGGGTTATCCACATATTCTGGATCACTGCAGTCATCTCTCTTTTTTTTTCTTTTTCTCTGACCTCATTCTTCCATCACAATTACTTTCTTTCTTAATTAATCTCTTTGGCATTTCCCCTGTTCCAATCTATTTGACACTGCACTTTCAGCCCCAATTTGAAAATTCTGAGTAACTTCCCACTGTATACTGAACCAAGGAGCGAACTTATAAAAAATTAACTTAAATTTATTTGAAATTCACCATGTGTCATGTAGCACACTAAATGCCTTCTCTGGATTATCTCATTGAATCCTTACAACAACCCTATGAGGTAGATACTGCTGTCATTATCTTCATTTGCAAGCAAGGAAACTGAGGCAGAGAAAAGTTAAGTAATTTGTGAAAGGTCACGTAGCAGTAGTGGAGTCAGCATTTAAACTCAGTATGTGCCTTCCCCCACTGTCACAACACCTGGCACTAGGAGCCCTCCAGAGTATGACTTCTACCTTGCTTTCCTGCTTTGTCCCTCATTATTGGAAGTGCTTGAGGAGAGACCAGAAATCAAGTAGAAGTTGGGCTGCAACTTGCTGGGAATGTTGCCAAGTACCTGCTGCTCCTTCCCATGGAATACCTCTTTCCTCTCAACCAAAATCCTATCAGTCCTGGAAGGTCCTTGACGAACCTGGAAGGTCCCATCTTCTCCATGGAATTCTCCTCCTTTTGAACCCCAAACCCTCCCAAACACAGAGCCCTGGGATCTTTTCTTTCTCTGAACCTCCATAGCATTTTATCCATATTCCTCTAATGGCATCTCTTTTACATCAGATTACACATGTGCTTATCTTCACCGTTAGATTCTTGTCCTCAGTGGAAGTAGGGACTTACATTCTTTTCCCTTAGTAGAACTCAGCATGCATTGCAGGGCAGTGGGAAACCAATGCAGGTTTGTTGATTAATGTTGTATTGCAAAGGAAGGAAGTGATTGGTCCAAATGTATATTTCGAGGTATTGGAGCATTGGGACCAGAATCCAGTTCTCCAAACTTTGAAGCCAATGCTTTCTCCACATTGCCTCCTTTTCGCCCCTTGGTTCTGCTTCCATTTCCTTCCATACTTTTGTCCCTGAAAATATACACGCGCTTGGAAACTTCTTGACTTTCTCTCAGCCCAGATGCAAGAGAAGACCCTCACCCATGGACAGATGGACACACACACACACGCACGCACACACACACACACACACACACACACACAGACAGCTCTGATTCACCTAAGGACCCAGCTTTGCTTCTTTACCCAATAATAGCACCCACAAATCTTTACCCACCCTAGCCCACACTGCCTCCCCTATGGAAGCTCTTTTCTTAACCCAGTGGCATCCCCCTACCCCTGCATGAAGTCACAGATCTTGTGTCCTTTTGCAGTCTCTTTCTCCTTTTAAGAGATATTTCTAATAGCAAAAACCTGGAAGACCTAAATGCCAAGCAATAGAGTTGTTAAATAAATCACAGGACAGCCAAATAGTAGAATATAGTGTAGCCTTTTAAAATGACAACATGGGTGCACGTGGTGGCTCACATCTGTAATCCCAGAATTTTGGGAGACCGAGGCAGGTAGATCACTTCAGGTCAGGAGTTCAAGACCAGCCTGGCCAACATGATGAAACCCCTTCTCTTCTAAAAATACAAAACTTAGCTGGGTATGGTGACGCAGACCTGTAATCCTAGTCCTTGGAAGGCTGATGCAGGTGAATCACTTGAACCTGGGAGGCGGAGGTTGCAGTGAGCCAAGATCGCGTCCTTTCATTCCAGCCTGGGTGACAGAGTGAGACCCTGTCCCCCCCAAAAGTAAAATAAAATAAAATGACAACATAGAAACAGATTAATCTACTAGAACTTGCATTGCTCAGTGAAAACTCAGGTTAAAGAACAGTTTTTAGAGGATATCCTCATTTACACTTATGTATGTCTGTATGTGAACAGCATGTGTGTGTGTGTGATCACAGAAAAAAATCCAACAGGATGTATGCCAAGGTGATAATATTTTGCTTCTGTGTATTTTCTATTTTTCTGTAGTGATCGTGGATTACCTGTGCAATTTCTACCCCACTCCAACAAAAGAACAAATCTTGCTCTCAGGATAAACTCTGGCAAAATTATTTATACTGATGCATAAATCATATGTAAAGCCCAACAGAGACCTCTTTCCTGAGGCATATTTATTTTAATCAGTCAAGAGGGGAAGCCAAAGGAAAATGTCACAAAACAGGTGGAAGAGGGTGTTATATAATTTTATTTCATTTTTGTTTGTTACTGGGAAGGAGTTCTCAGTCCTTTTGAAAGTGCAGCTCATCCAGGCAGTCCCAGGGAATATGTCCCAGGGATCATGAGGGCTGTGCTGTAGATGAAGGGCGTTCTGGGCCTGGGCAGTCTCTGGGCCAAAGAGGGCAGGTGTTCGTTCAGACACTCCGCTGTGGGCTGATCTTTGCTTTCTGTCTTACAGCTCCTGTTGCTGGGACACCTGGTAAGTACTCCACCCACAGCCTTTCCTTCCTCCAGGTCCCCTTTTCCTCTCCTCCCAGTGCCCTCTCTGGAGGTGCTCTAAATGTACCAGCAACTGAGCCCAGTACCAAGTCAGGGCCAGGAAAGGGTAATTGCTCCCGAAGGATCCCCTGCTCCCTCTTCTGCTCTCCTCCTTCCTTTTCCTCCTTCCATGGAGGCAAGTTGTGGGCAGCCATGGTGTTCAAATGGGGGAGCTGTCACAGAAAATGAGAACTCTGACCTCGCTCTCAACTGCCTTCTGCTGTCCAAATAAAACCAAGAGCTTCCTCTCTCCAAATAAAATTCAGGCACATGCAAAATCACATGGCCTGCATATGTTGTCCCCCTGTGTTGCTAAATCCTTGACTGTGCATGTTTCTGAGAGCTTCAGAGAGCCGTCTCTGTATACCTCTGGCTACACTTTCCTGAGCACCTCTGTGTTTGTGCCACTCAGCCTCTGCCGCCCCAGGACTGACCCTCCAGGTTTTCTCCCTCTCTCTTTATCCGTCTAAGGCCAGAGAGGCTCATCTATGCTTGGGTGTGAGGACGGGCCATCTTGACATCATTTTTAAAAGTACACAGAAGGACATTAGGTCAGAACGGAAACCTGATATCCGACTCCCATGCCTGCCATCTCCACCAGAGCCCCCACTTACCTTCAGTCAGCCCCAGAGAAAATTTATCCACCAGTGTCCAAACACCTTTGTTTATTGGGGAGAAAAGTTAGTCTCAAAAGAGTATGTATGTATGGGGTGTCTGTGTGTCTGTGGTGGTGGGGAGAGGTTGGTGGGGAGAGAGAGAAGGAATTGGTGAGGATTATCTCTTGGTGAAGTATATGTATTTCTAGGGTGTTTCTCTTGCCCGCTCCCTCCCTCTTCTCTTTTGCCCTGTCTGAATCCCTGGGCTCCCTGGGGCCCTTGTGGTGGGATGTATGAGCAAAAGCAACTGCCTTCAGTTGCAGAACCATTCTGGGCCTGGCTCAGCTTTTGGTGCCCCCAGTAGGCCCACAGGTGCTTCTGTGTCTGAGATTCAGGGCCTGCTCAGGCTCTTGGGCTTCCTCTTCCTCACGCTACCTCCTCTCTCTGCCCCTCAGCAGCTCCCCCGAAGGCTGTGCTGAAACTCGAGCCCCCGTGGATCAACGTGCTCCGGGAGGACTCTGTGACTCTGACGTGCGGGGGGGCTCACAGCCCTGACAGCGACTCCACTCAGTGGTTCCACAATGGGACTCTCATCCCCGCCCACACGCAGCCCAGCTACAGGTTCAAGGCCAACAACAATGACAGCGGGGAGTACAGGTGCCAGACTGGCCGGACCAGCCTCAGCGACCCTGTTCATCTGACTGTGCTTTCTGGTCAGTGGAGGAAGGCCCCGGGGTGGACCTGGGAGACCCAGGACGGTTGAAATCTGCTTTCAGGCAGAGGTTTGCAGGAAAGAGGGGTGGCCTGCTTACTGGGAAGCATCAGTGTGAGTTGCCTCAGCATATATCAATGGTTGTTTTTGCCTCAGTCCTGATTGAACAGAAGGTTACGAGGCCACAAACAGGCAGCCAAGTGTGAGAGAAGCAGAAGGAAATCCCGACTGCATAAAACCCATTTCCATTTTAATGGCAGAATTGAAAAGCACAAACAGACCACAACTGAATCCTAGCCCTGGAAATGACTCACTGTACAAACATGATTAATTCATTTAACCCTTGAGTTTCCATTTCCTCACCTGCTCCATGGGGCACTAATGCCTCCCTCAAAGGCTTCTGGTGGGAATCAGTGTTTCCCTGCCCCCATCCCACCCTCCATGCCCCTTCTCCACGTTCTCACAGTGCTAGGTGCCCTTCTCTGTCTTTCTCTTCCACCAGCCTGTGGGAAACCTGAGATGAAAGTCGTGTCTTACCCATCTTTGTATTTCCAGCATCTGAAACTGGGCAGAGCTTAGTAAATATTTTGCTGGAGAGGTTGATGATCTTACAAAGCTCCCATTGAAAGGTGGCTCTCTGTAAAGCAAAGTTACAATGAGATTGTGATGAACATTGTCCTTGTTGCTTTTCACTTGATCCTCTCCCTTCACCTGAATAGCAAATTTTCCTCAAATGTACACAGCAAACGAATGACCCACTGGCGACACTGCTGCCTTTAGACCCTGCTGGAAAGAAGCTCCACACTTATTAACATTCTCCAAGTAAATTTGTCAAGTAGCATTCATCAGGTAACATTTGTTGCACATTCATGACTTTCTGCTGTCCACACAGGCATATATCCTTCTCACATGCAGACTCCTCGGTCAGACTGGATTCCTCCTTCCCTCCCCGACATGGAAGAGATCGCATCTTAGGGTCTCTTGTGTTCTTCCTACAGAGGCCTGTCGGGCAGGAAAAGGCTGCAGCTGCCTTCCTGGGAGAAGGAGGAGATGAGTGTATCCTGAACACCTACTATGTGCTAGGGCCTATTGTAGATACATGACATTATCATGCCCATTTTCACAAATGAGAAAACTGAGGCTCAGAAGACTTAAATTATCTGCCCAAGAGTTCATAAATGACACAGCAAGCATTAGAGTCCAGGACTGTCTGATTTCAGACCTAAGCTGTTCCCTCTGCACACCATGTCCCATCAGTAAGGAAGATCTGGGTCTCAGAGCTGAGCCAAAACCTCCCGGGTCCTCTGGGGTTTTTTGCATCTTTCAGAGTGGCTGGCGCTCCAGACTCCTCACCTGGAGTTCCGGGAGGGAGAAACCATCATGCTGAGGTGCCACAGCTGGAAGGACAAGCCTCTGATCAAGGTCACATTCTTCCAGAATGGAATATCCAAGAAATTTTCCCATATGGATCCCAACTTCTCCATCCCACAAGCAAACCACAGTCACAGTGGTGATTACCACTGCACAGGAAACATAGGCTACACGCCATACTCATCCAAACCTGTGACCATCACTGTCCAAGGTATGGGGAATCTGCCAAGATGTAGGGAGGGGAGAAGAGGGGATGGACAAGCGGTAAGGTCACATGGGCCTACACGGAGGTCTGAGAAAGGCCACAGCAGCAAAATTGGGCACTGGAGCAAAGAGGAGTGGTGTGGAGGCCTGGCTAAGTATTGGCCAATGAGCAGGAGTAGGGGCCAGAACTTGGAGCCCTCACCTCCCAGGTAATAGGTAGTCAGGCTCTTGTTCCACTTTGAAATGCAGGCCCCAGACTAAAGATGGCAGCGAAGCAGAGCTTCCTCATTGGTGCAGAGGTTCCCCAAGCTCCTGGGCATTCCTAAGAGCTGAAGTTTGCCTCCTTTCTTCTCATGGCTCATGTTATAGCCATTCACTCCAGAAAACCTGGCATGTCATAGTCTGTTCAAGGCTGTGCTCCGTAGAGTAATGATGCCTCCAGCTATGCAAGGCTTTGGGCCCACCCTCCCTACTGCCCGCAAGGGCTAAGGGGATTCCTTCCCTGTGCTCCTGCCTGCTCGCCAATGTGCCTTTATTAGTTTGGTGGAGAAACCTGGATAGGCAGGAGGCATAAGTCCAGCCACAGAAACCCTGTGCAGGTGAGGCTGGGGGATGTATGAGTCTTGCATTGGTGAGTGACTCAGACACAGAAGAGCTTTGGGTGACAAGCACTAGGACATAGCACTGGAGGAGGTGGGAGGTGGGACAGGGAGAATACAAAAGTTGTCATTCAAATAGTAACCCCATCCTGTCCTAATGTCTGTCTTTCCTAGTGCCCAGCGTGGGCAGCTCTTCACCGATAGGGATCATTGTGGCTGTGATCACTGGGATTGCTCTAGCGGCCATTGTTGCTGCTGCAGTGGCCTTGATCTACTGCAGGAAAAAGCGGATTTCAGGTTTGTAGCTCCTCCCAGTCCCTTTTGTTATCAGTTTCCACTTGGTCCAGACCCTAACCCCAGACATTGCCAGAATCCCTCTCTTAGGGCTAGATACGCATTCAGATCTAGGCCCGTATTGTATTATATTCATTTGTTCATTTATTAGATCATTCATTGACAAGACTTGAACAAACTAGCTTATGTGTCAGCCAATGTGTGAGACATGGTGGGTGATGCCAAGATGAAGTCCAGTCCCTGCCCTTGGGGAGTTCTCAGCATTGTGAGGAAGACAGAAGTACAACTAGGCCATTATAGTAAGATGGGATAAAAGCAATGATAGGGACATGAAAAGCCTAGGATAGGAGTACAGAGGAGGCTCCATAGCCCAACAAGGGCTGAGGCAGTTGGAGAAGGTCTCGGGGGGAGCAGTGTAGTGCAGTGATGGAGTGCACATAGTGGGGTCGGACTGCCTGGGTTCAAATCTAGTTCCACAGCGTACCAGCTATATGACCCAGGTGAGTCACTCCACCTCTCTGTGCCTCAGTTGTCTCATGTGGAAAATGGGGACACTAATAGGACTCACCTCACAGGGTTGCCATGGGGATGAAAGAGGCTGACGCTCTTACACCAGTGCCTGTCAGGCAGTAACAGCACACAAGCAGGGCTGTTGCCATTCTGGAGGAGGTG